GTGGAATATTCAAAACATCAGAATAGGTGAAATCAGAACTAGTCGTAACATTAACGCAAGAAGAGGAGTTAAAAACAGAACGAAAGCGGTCTGCAAAGGCCTCTGCGATTGACTGCGGTTCCGTGATAAAACTCTCTCCAACTTTAATTTCTGTGATCGACTGGTCTTTCTTTTTAAATTTAGAAATATATTTCCAAAAGTGCTTTGATTGGGTTTTCAAATTTTCTTCAATAGTTTTTAACCAAACCAATCTATCTGATTTAATAGTCAATTTAACTAGTTTACGATAATGTGAAAAAACGCTATAATGATAATCAGATTTAGATTTTTTAAATTTCTTAAGAGATGCATTCTTCTTTCTAATGTAATAGACAAGAGTTTTGGAAAACCAATGAGGATATGCAGAATTTCTGGGTTTTACAAAGGGAATAGCTAGGTTGATGGCCTTCGACACAGTAGCCGTGAGATTAACTGCAGCATCAACAGAGTTTTCATTAAGAACGCAAGACCAGTCAGAGTTTTCTAGGATATGGTAAAGTAATAAGTAGTCTCCTTTCCCGTAATTGCGTCGAGGAGTAAGCGAGGTATTATTATAACATACTTTTATCACAATTATATTATTCCATATTTCAGACGAGGTGTGGTTCTACTGAACTATCATCAGTACATGTCTGTTGTACTCCTTATTTGTCAACAGTATTTTTTGTATTTATGTAACCATGCGCTTAAAACACTTCATATGTAACGTTTATGTGGATTTATTAGTCTTCCTGTGTAGCAAATGTCCTTATTTAATACTATATGCCTATATGTTTTTTATATAACAGATTCTCTACGTCTGGAGCTGCCTCTCCGTCCCCAATTTCCATGTTTCTTGTCCCCATTGCTTCGTCTACGTCATCTCTGCAACTTCTTCTAGGCCACCATCTTTCTTCGTTCCGGCGATACCCACTCCAGCACGTTTCTTGGCGGACCATTCGTTGTGTAAAACGGCTCTTTAAGAGTGACAACGAATTTTATTTTTGCTGAGACATCGTTATAGTAATGCATAGTAGTCCATATTAGAGTGGTTCTTATGTCCAGTTGTTGTATTTATTTCCATAGATGTTTATACTCTATTAATGTTAAAATAATAATTATATTACATTTTGCAGGCGTCTCTGAGAGTTAAGTTGCAGTTTATGATGATTCCAAATGTAAATATAGAATTTCAAAGAGTCTGTTACTTCAGCTGTTGGGCTGTCTTATCTGTTTCGATATGGTAATAATTCTGATAAATTAAATAAAGTTATGCCTACTTGAACTGCCTTCATATTGCGTACTTTTACAAATTACTTCCAAGAGGTTATTCTGTTCCAGAAACATTGAAAGCACTGGCAAAGATTTTTCTGACGATTTTCATTTGTTTGGACTGACATGGACCGACAATCACATAATCTTCACCATTGACAATCAGGAAATCGGAGACGTGTGGGCTCCCCAGAATGGTTTCTGGTACTTTGGAGGATTCCAAAACAATCCAGGTGGCACTAACATCTGGCAAAATGGAAATTGGATGGCACCATTTGACCAGGAGGTAAAAATGTACACGTAAATCTTTCTTCTTCTATGGCTCTCCGGTCCGTATTCGGTCCATGGCCTCCTCAATTCTCCTCTTCCATTCGGTCTTCTGTTAGGTCCGTCTGTCCGAGGTTTTGATTGAGGTTTCGAAACATCTTCCTTTTTACGGTGCAAGGTTGTTAGCCTTGCGACCAATCCCCAACTCTTTATTAGCTTGTCATTATCTCCTGTTAGTCGAAGTCTCTGGTTTGTAAATTCGATTTTTATTGTTATTGTAACTGTAACAGGTTTAATTATTTCTCAGAATGTTAGGCCTATACTACTAAGATTCATAATTTTAATTACACGCAATGGATTACAGAGATTTGTGTTAATAATGGCGTATATTAAATTCAGAGATACAGAAGCAGTTCTTGAGCAAGTTTATAATTTTCCATTTAACCGTACGCACATATAGACGTACGTATAATTTTACTTCCTTGAAAACGCAGCACGCTTGCTGTGTGTAATGGGTTACATAGAATATTCATTATGATACTTATAATTCAAAATAACTTTTTCGAAACGTAACATACAACACGAGCCATTGTCTTTAACCAGAATAATGCATGTAGAAAAATACAGATTCTGTCAGATTGGAGTCCAACACAATCCACTCCATGAAGTTTGAAGTACGGTAGTTCAAAAACCCTTTTAGTGCCAAAGCCTATTTCCACTGTTCTGGTCTAAACACCCAGGCCAATTTTCAAGTATTTAAAGCTTAAATGTAAACATATTTTTTTACACACACATGAAAAAATCACTTATACACTAAATACTGTACGTTTGAAAAAAATATCTCAAATTCTGATGTTACATTTAACTTACAAAAAAAAAATTAAAAATTAAAAAATAATATTAAAAATTTCATTTTCATGAGGTAAAGACATTTTTTGTTTGTTTTCCTTTTTCATCACTCAAGAACATTTATTTCTGCATAATTTAATATACATTTGGTGTCTGTACTGTTATCGTGTCCTGAACTATAAGTTTTTGTGAACCAATGTACACGTACCTTTGACCTTGAACCAGCCACTGCCTAGTTGAAAAATTGACAATAAATGAACGTACATATAACAAACTACAGAAAACAACGAAAAAGTATAATAACTGAGACATAAAATTAATAATAAAAACAAAATTACGAAGCTGAACACTTAACTTAGCATAATTGAACCGAAAACCACGAGCAAAAACGTTAACACGCCAGTAGGTAAACATACGAGCTCAACGTATTTCTTTTGTTTGCCTCTAGGAGCATTTCTTAAGAAAAATATGAGTTAAACGACGCTTATACTGCCATCTGACAACTCTTATGTATCAGATTCAGCTAGCTCCAATGGATCGGCTCCCTGAGTGTTCTAAAACATTTCTGTTGGCCTACAGCAGCAATCTGTTGAGGAAAACATATATCGGTGCGCTGAGTGTTTTAGCTATACTACGTGCGCCGATATATTGGCGCGTTGGATTATTAGGGTTAATTCCAAACTGATATAATTCAATCATGGTTGGTTTTCCTACAACGTAATAAACAATACATTAAATTCACAGGAACTTGTAAAGAAAAAGTGTACAATAAAGAACTGAAGCACTCTTGTTAGTGGTGCGTACTACAACGAAGTGGGCAGTGACACTATTCAGCTGATAATTCATATTTATGGTTTATTTTACGACACTCTAGATCGGACTGTGTAGTATCGAATGACGTGATGGAAAGGATGTGGAAAGTAGCGGTCGTGGAATAAATTAAAATACTATCCCGGTATTTGCGTGGAGAAAATTATGAAGACTCCTAGTAAGAATGTTTGGTGTTCTGGCCGAAGTTTAAATTCGGGATCTCACAGATACGAAGCGGGAATGCTAACCACTCAGCCGCCATTATGGCTGACACCACTTTAGAAAATTATTTAGCTAAGCCTAATCACCAAATAATGTTTCCCTCTAAATGAAGGCGATGTGAAGTCCTTCCGTCTAATAGTTTCTTTCCTACCCGTTAGCCTCTCTGTAATTAGATGACTCTTCCATCGTTATTCAACGGCGTGCTACTTAATGCAAGCATGGCCACCGCTGTTAAGTCGCTGTGCGGTTAAATGATCACCAATAACGGAAGAGAAGTAGCTATAATGTCACACCACGTGGGTTTTAGAACTTAAATTTAAGTAGAGCTTAGAATAGGTAAACTAGTGTAGGTGTCATTGATGTACAAAAATAACTAAATAAGCAATTTATTTATTTCAGTTAAATCTGGTTCAAGAGAACCCATGGCGAATAACTGGCATAGGCCTATCCGCTGATAAATTAATATAATAGCAAACTTATCGTTCCAGAGTAATCCTTTCATTAATACTATCTCTTAATACCATTACCAAAAATTATAATAGGTTCTACATCGTTTTTAAGATTGTAACTATGGATAATAAGGCAACCTTAATATTTTAAACATATTTGGGTGTCCATTGACTTGTATTACAGTTCCAAATCATCTTGAACGTAGCCGTTGGGGGTACTTTCTTCCCCGAAGGGACTGGTAATCGACCGTGGAGCTGGGACGGCCATCCTATGAAAGATTTCTGGGAACGTCGCAGCGAATGGCTACCAACATGGCACGAAGAAGACGCGGCCATGAAAATTGATTACATCCGAGTCTATCAGTAGGCCTAATAAAATAAATTCGAAGATAAGAAACATGCAGATTTTGAGTTAGCCATTAATCACGTCGACGTTTACAAAAACAGTGTTGCTAAATTAACTAAATAAAAATTTTCTTGGATATTATCCACCGTCTAGTAAATATAACTAGACAATGGATAATATCCAAGAAATTTTTTATTCAATTCACTCTTCACCATCGTCAAGAAGTTTTAGATCTAAATTAATTAGGTTATAAATATAGCATCATAAGTTAAATATGAAATTTAACTTTCGTAGTTTATCAACTGAATAAATATTTAAAAATATATTGCATAATACATTTACTAACTCTAGGATTATATCAGTTTTATTCCTTATTTACATTTTCATCAAAAGAATGTTGAATAATTTCCCTGCTTCGTCTTATTTGAGTACTTAATTAAGGACAATTAACTAACACTTGGATTATTTAACTCCTCCATTTAAACCGTGCAAGTTACGTAAGGTTAAATGGTACGATAGCTACAAATTTTAACGGCTTCGATTGTGATTTACTTTAAGATAGCGAAACATTTTCCTAGGGGAATTAAGGAAAAACACGCTTCGAACCAAGATTCGAACCCGAAACCCCTTGAATTCGAAACAGATGTACTAACAATTGAACAGCGACGTTCAAAGTAAAAAAAAAGGTAAAACTGTCCTCGTACCTAAGCACAGCTGAGTAAAGGTAAATAGCGGAGTGTCGGTAGAAATCCACACATTATTACCTCGATACTAAACAGGGGTGTGGTTAGCTTTACGTCATAGCCGTATTAACCCTAAGACGGATGGTCGAGTAGTTGCTGTTGAAACGCACACAGGCCCACTTTCTTTATAAGACTATTATTTACTCACAAAACACAAATCAAGATTAGTCACACACGGGAAAGAATCATGGATCAGCAAGCAGCCCCGTGAACCTCTGTCGGTCCTCTGCCCACTTTGGAAGCCAGGAAAAAACCTAAGAGACGATAATTGTCAGACCACTGGGCAGAGACTGACTCACATTGGTCCCCGGGTATCATAGCAAAACAGAAGAAGATCAGAGAGCACTCTGACGTGAAAAAGGCAAGGTTAGAACAGGGTGATACAAAGGAAAGTACAGAGTGGGACAAAGGTAACGTCACATCCTCCCCCCACTTTCCAAAGAGGACAGCCCGGAGGAAAGCTCCATACAGTAGCTGTGGTGTAGGTTCTTCGACACGTAGACTCATGACAAAGCATAGGTTCCGAAAGAGGTCACTTGCGCGCACAGGAGCTCTTCGGGAGAAAAGGTAGATCAAGCAGAAGCTGGGGGGTGGAGTGGAGGGGGGAGTGTGACGCGTAATGAGAAGAGGGCGGAGAAGAAAGCCCCTGCAAGAAACAGAAACTGGACAGCAAACAAATGGATATACATATAGTACGCAGAACAGTACCAAAACAAACACACAAGAACAATCCCGTAAAAGAGGGGATCATCCCTAAATCACATAATTCCCGATAGAGTGCAAATGGAACAACAGAACAAGAACTTCTTTGATCCAGCAGAGCGCAAATCTCATGACCGGCAATGCGAATGCAAACCCGTGGTACATCCGGAGAACAAAACGCACAAATTTGAAAACGCTTTAAAAAATAAAACATATGGGCGAGTCCGGACCGGGGCTTTTCTATTTTTCACGTGCGGGTCACGGGCGTTTGTTGAATATTAGAACGAGAAGGGATTCGTGTGGAGGACGCTTTGGACAATCCTTGTTTACATGGCCCAAACTATGGCAATAACCGCATTCCCTGTTTAACTGGTAGCGGATTCCGTACTGGAGGAAGTGAGGCCGTCATACTATAGGAATATTCAGAGCTAGCGGAGAGCACGTAAACGTTTTCAAGTTCTACAAAGGAGTTGCATTCCTTCGCGAACACTAAACATGACCTTACAGTAGGAATTAAGCCATCCAAAATAACACTCAGAGCACAGGAAACGAAGAATCTTAAGGTATAGTTTAATTTTGGCCACATAATCTGCTAGAAACTCGCCCTGACATAAGAAAAACTGTTTCAACGCAGCTCTAGCGGGGGCCGGGAAAAAAGATTTCCATCGTGTCCTCATGAAACTCTTCTAGAGACTTAGCAGCGCCTATAGACTCTCTAAAAGCAATGTCCTACACACATAATCTGCTAGAAACTCGCCCTGACGTAAGAAAAACTGCTTCAACGCAGCTCTAGAGGGGGCCGGGAAAAATACTTCCAGCGTGTCCTCATGATACCCTTCTAGAGACTTAGCAGCGCCGATAGACTCTCTAAGTCTCCGCGACAATGAGCCTGCCGCATACGGGTGTACAATTTGCAAAACAGAAGTATCAGGAATGGAGAAGACTGCAGCGTGAATACGTATTTCCAGGAGTAGTTTAAAAAATGCAACACTGACTCAAATGTATCTCCGGATAATAAAGGTTGACGAGACAAAATCCCCTCCTCAATAGTGATGGGCAACTTCGTACACGGAAACGCGCGCGTATCGACATGGCTTGTGTTTACCGACTCTGAAGAAGTTTCCAAAGCCTGCAACTGATTAAAGCCGCTTAGTTTAAAAAATGCAACACTGACTCAAATGTATCTCCGGATAATAAAGGTTGACGAGACAAAATCCCCTCCTCAATAGTGATGGGCAACTTCGTACACGGAAACGCGCGCGTATCGACATGGCTTGTGTTTACCGACTCTGAAGAAGTTTCCAAAACCTGCAACTGATTAAAGCGGCCGGCTTGGGTAAAATTAGAGGTAACATGATCAAAAAAACGGAGCTCCGGAGTGGACCCTTGCGAAGGCTTGATGAGATGAATAAGAAACTCTTCTATTGACGGCATTAAGTGGGAAACGCCCTCAGACAATTCTTCTAGGGAGGAAGTATTGGCCTGGTCTAAAACTTTCCTGTTAGCTAGGTCACGAGTCCTGTAAGTCAAATGACGTAGGCGCGTCATAATCCTGGCATATTGATTAGGCGTGACGTTGGCAGCCCAAACTTCTGTTACTACTTCTTGAATCTCAATCAATTTATTACGTAATGTTCGCAACTCACCCAGTGGTTCGATGGAATCCATGGCCAAGATGTGAATCTCGCTGCCTGGTAATTCACGTAAATATTTCCTGAGGCCGGGGACCTTCAGCTGTTGTTGGTGCAGTCTCTTCCGTATGGTGATCTCGTATTCCAGCTCACCCTTCCTGAGGTAATCCTGGTTCGGAAGTGCTAGATCCATAACAATTAAAACCTGCAGAGACAGATTAACAACAATTCAAAAGAAAAAGTTCAAGTAGAATAACAGAATATCTTGAATTAAAATCGAAAAACCACGCTATGTGCTATGAGTTGAAACACACACAGGCCCACTTTCTTTATAAGACTATTATTTACTCACAAAACACAAATCAAGATTAGTCACACACGGGAAAGAATCATGGATCAGCAAGCAGCCCCGTGAACCTGTGTCGGTCCTCTGCCTCCTTTATAAGCCAGGAAAAACCTAAGAGACGATAATCGTCAGACCACTGGGCAGAGACTGACTCACATTGGTCCCCGTGTATCATAGCAAAACAGAAGAAGATCAGGGAGCACTCTGACGTGAAAAAGGCAAGGTTAGAACAGGGTGATACAAAGGAAAGTACAGAGTGGGACAAAGGTAACGTCACACTGTAAAAGAAGTTAAATGGGCCGCGGAGTCATCTGGATGCAGTGAAGAAGAAAAATTCCTGCCCTTGCCACGAGTCGAACACTGGACGCCCAGTCCGTAATTCCTTAACTGTGTAATGAATAAGCTGTGGATTCTTCTTAAATTACATAATTTATCCTTGTGGATCATACAATTATGTATGATGCATTTAATTATCTTCACTCATGAAAGAAATTACTTTATGGCAGTGTGAATCTCCGTATCCGTGCAGTTTAAGAACCTATATTCGGTTTACTGAATAGTAGTAAAAGTAAAGTAAAGGGGGTCTCCTAAATTAATTATTAAACACGTAAATTACATCACCTTTAGGTGACATTTGCATTCAGTCTCACTTCATTCCTCATTCAAAGTAAATTTTAATTACGTTAATAAATTCATTCATAACTGTCTATCATGTCTAATTTTCTTATCTTACATTCAGCATCACTTTATATACAGTAATTTTGGAAATTTAAGCCGAAAATATCACCAAAATTCCAACAATTATATATAACGTTATTTCGTACCAGAAAGTGTTCTCTGCTGCCTCAGTTCATACGACATAATATTTTAATATTTATTTTATTCAGCAACAATAATAATAATACATTTTGTTGTTCGGATTTTTAAATTATTCGAAAAATAAGTGGATTGGAATAAGCCAACAACGCATTTGTGCAGGTCACAAAGAAGAGAACTGAATGAAGATTTCACGAACATATATTCGCGGATCGACGGATATTACTTCTTGCGGCGTTCCTTCCGTATGCTGCCATCTATGATCGCTAAAATGAAGTACAGCTTCTTCTCCCCATCCGGGGACATTCCTGCGTCGCTACGGACCCAAAACAACATCGCAGTAATGAGGAGATAATGAGAGCATAGGACGTATCTCAGGAATGGTGTGAGTGTGTAGACACAAATTACTTCTTCATTCACTCAACATTCTGTCCAGAACGAGGCCATATTCCGTATGTCTTGTGCGTGATACCGTACACACATCCGCGGACTCTAAACAACTTCCGTCGACTCGGATATTATGAAGTAACAGGAGGTAGCGTGAGCAAGTATTACTCCAACTTCTTGCTCCCAAAGATTTGAAATTTGTAGTTCGTTTTAACTTGTGTTTTGTAGGTTGTAGAAATTGTACGAATATTTATGGTTCAACTTTGAGCCTGACAGTGGTCCAGTAAAAATTGAAGATACGTAATTATTACAGGTCTATTCAAAGCATAGCAAGATAAGAAAATACGATAAAACATACCCAGCAAAACACCAATTAAACTTCCATTAAGCCTGCTTCGAAAATGTAATGTAATAGTTACTCTAAGACTATGAGCCAGGATAAAACGATGAGGATTAAATAAACTGGCGAGGACAGAATAGAAAAATATAGGTCAATACAGTGTTATCACATTTGGGGCACAATGGGGGAGATAAAATACTCGTACGTAAATTTAAGACAATTTTGGTTAGGAAGTATAAAATTAGGAGATCATTTCAAAGACCTTGTTATAGATGGAGTGATAATATTAAAATGGGCCTTAGGAAATCAGGAAGTTGCATATGGAGATCCACAAGCTTATTCAGTTACTTTGGGATAAGGAAGAGATGCCACAACAATGGAAGGAATCCATAATTATTCCTATTCATAAGAAGGGGGCAGGACTGAGTGTGGTAATTACCGAGGAATTTCTCTGCTATCAACCTCACACAAAATTCTATCCAACATTCTTTTGGCAAGATTAACTCATATGCGAATGAAATTATTGGGAATCATCAGACGAAACAGATCAACAATTGATCAGATCTTTTGCATTTGTCAGATATTAGAGAAAAAATGGGAATACAGTAGGACCGTATATCAGTTGTTTATAGATTTCAAAAAAGCCCTCTAATTTTCTTATCTTACATTCAGCATAAGTTTGTATACAGTAATTTTAAAATTTTAAACCGAAAATATTACAAAAATTCCAAACATATATAACTTTAGTTCGTCCCAGAAAGTTCTCTGCCACTTTCGTTCATACGACACAATATTTTAATATTTATTTTTTATCGCCTCCCTGAGTGTTGTAAAAACATGTTTTGTTGATTCACATGAGCTATCTGTTGAGGAAAACATGAACTAAAGTTTAAAGTAGCCGATGCAGCCTTGTGCTGCCATATGGAGCCGTATATGTAATTACATCATCAGAATTAACCAGCGCCGATATGTCGGCGCGCCTTGTGTTTTAGATATTACTGCGCGCTCCGATATATCGGCGCGTTCAGTTATTTGGGTTAAGGATGGCTGTATTTCCCTGAAATACGATGCACGAAGTGGCACTCCACGATTTGAAACTCTAGGATGTGCCACTATAATGAACTCATGGAGAGTGATACAGATGGACATCATGATGATAAGTTGCTTTTAAACATGCATGATTTGGGCAAAATAAACTGGCGACCCTGAAAACTAAGTCGTCCACACAGCTTACAGTATTACTAGGAATGTTGTTCCATATGAAATTCCATGTCGATGTCAGAGCCAATTTGTATCGATTTCGAATAGTTTTATACTTTCGGACTTATAAGTTATGTAGGTATACGTTCCTGATTAAATTCGTCTTTGAACATTCTGTAACACTTTTATTTGCGTGACAGAACTGTCATAGTAAATCACACATTTCCTTCTCTCTAATCAGCTGTATTTTAAGGTTTTTTGTAACGGACATATTTGCATATTCTCAGTATCTTCGATTAAATAGTACATTATTAAGCTGTTTAGAAGTTAAGCGGTTTATCTATGTGATAAATCTATAAAAAATAAATATATTTCCCTAATGTATCTTACTGATTCATCGATATCAAATAAACCCTCTGGTATTTAGTATAATTTTCATATCACAGTGATAAGAAAATCGTGCGACTTGTGATTGTGGTTCTAAACTTGCTCGTCTTCTCGAAGGCTTGCTGTTAATGACGTTGTTGCCGACTTAAAAATGATTAAGTGAAACAGGAATATGAAATAAACACAAAAACATACAGGTATAAAGCTTATTACATACTGTGTTCAAATCGTAATTATCTCTTTTAATATCCTGAGCAGCAAATTTATGAATAGTAAATCTGTAATTTTATTTTACAAACTTTCTCATTAAGCGGATATCAAAATAAATAGATAAGCTTAGAGTATTTAAGAATACTAATGTTTCAAAGCCAAGTGGCAACTCAATTTTATATTTTGTGGTTGTATAGTTCTCAATGTAAACAGCAATTAATTCTTTAAACAACATTTTCCAGTTGATCTTTGTAATGAAGTGTGGTGGTTCCTTTGTGGTGCACACAGAATTCTTATATATTATTTAGATCAGCTTTGATTTCAAAGGGTTAAAAATATTTTGGTATGTTTGAGGTTCGGTGTAATCAAGCGAAAGCCAAACTACATTTCATAATTTGAACAGAGCGACATTAATTTATTTATCATACATTTTATTAACATAATTATTCCTATATTCTTTGGCATTATGAGATGGACCAACAAGCTCAAATAATTCATGCGGCAGTCTTAGGTAGAATATAATGGTAAGATAAATGTTCTCAGTGAATTAATAACAATATTTCATTGGTACATTTTGAGGATTCATCTTACACGCATATAAATATATTCAGCAGAATCATGAAAGGATGTTGGCCTAACTGCAATGCCCTAGTGGCTTTGTCTGTCATTACAGAATAATCACTGTAATTACTATGAAAGTTATACAAATTAAATGATTTCTGACACCAGTTATAATTTACGGCTTCACAACATATCTTATTCACAGCAAGCATTAAAATATTTTGTCAAAATCATTGCTTTGGTGAAATTAGATACTATACCAAAGTATCTTACACTACGACGTCAGTCTAAACTGCATCTTGCGACCTTAATTAAATAAAACAGTTTCTCACATTTCTTCTGCAAGTGTAGCGTAAATAACTACACTGTATATTTTCACTGGACTTCCAGGAAAAAATGCATAAAATTTTGTTTAAGTTACAACACAGTAAAGGGAAACAAATGCTATGAACAATTAGTTGGCACAATCTGTGTATCCAGCTTATTATCAATAAGAGTTGTCATTTCTCTCTCTTCTTCTTTACTGGCTGAAGTCATATGCTTACACTTCTCTCGCCCACAAGTCTCACAGAAATTAAAGTCTGATTTCACTGATTTACGAAGTTTCTGAAACCAAAAATCAAATACAGATATTCAATTGAGATTTTTCCATTTTTATACAGTTTAATTCAAATTAATTATCACAAACATGGCTCATATCTGATATCAGACACCAATGATTTAAAACAGCTCCAGAATTCTATTTCCCCTCTTAAGTAACACTTGACAATCAGACCCACTGAGATGGTTACAGTCTGTAATGTCCATGTATTCGAAAACTATGACAGAAATGGAAAAATATGGAATTTAATTAATAAAAGGCAAGTATGGTGCAATCTGCTTTTACAGTTGTGACAAATTTATCATTTACCATGACAATTTTGTTAAATAGGTTTTTCTTCTTCTTTTTCCGGTTTAACAATATTTGTACATTTACCGGTACCCTTTAAGGGTCCCCAACTTTTCAGTTGGCTTGATCTATGGACATTCGGTACGACTCCTTGGACGAGGGATTGGCCTGTCGCAAGGCCTCTACCTGTAAACAGGACAGCACGACACAACATCCATGGCTTGACTAGGATTCGAACCCACGGTCCCTGCAACCGCGTGGCCACTGCAGACCTCTTAAATAGGTTTTTGTAAGCTAAATAATTATTTCAATCAATGAACAGTACACTTGGCACTCCTATAACGTGAGTATGCTCCTAATAGATTGTTTAATCTTAATTTATTCAATTTTATACGCTAAAAAATAGAGATTGTTTAGTGAACTGTGAACTGCCTGCAATTCACTAGACAATCTGATATATAAAATTCCACTCAAGTAACACTATAGGTTTGCATAAGTTCTCATATCTATCTTTTGCAAAGTGTGTTTAAACTGTAATTCACCAACAATTCTGGCTGAATATTTCATGGTTTCCCTCAGTCCCAAAAAAATCAGATTCCGTGACAATAATTTCAAAAGTGCACCATTTACTTCCCAGTCATTTCTGGTCTAATCTATGAATCAGGAAGTCTTCTGATAAAATAAAAGATATTCCATGTAAGCTACTAAGCTATGTATCACTTAACTTACATCAAGTAAGGAATTCCCCTCAGTTCGCACAATAACAATAATTGCCTGTGCTGGAATGCATACGAGTGAAAGTGAAGCAATGATCCATCCTAAAGTTTCTGCCCATACAGGATATCTATAAGCACCATTGTTGTATGTTGGAGGCGTGTAGTCAATCAGGCTAAAAATCCAGACAGCCTGAGGAAGAATAAGCATTTCAACAACATATCAGATACTGAAATCATCATTCCAATGAAAATATAGGAATCACTGAACTGGGGATACTGGATACTGGGAATGACCCGTTCTTCAAGTGCCTGAGCACTGTGGGTCCCCAACTTTTAGTTGGCTTAATCTATAGACATTCGGTAGGACTCCTTGGACGAGGGATCGGCCCGTCACAAGGCCTCTACCTGTACACACAGAAAAACGCGGACAAACATCCATGGCTTGAGTGGGATTCAAACCCACAGTCCCAGCGACTAAGCGGCACAAGGCCCACACCTCAGACCACGACGTCACTGTCGACCCCAGGAATCACTGTTCATAACAATAAGTTGACATATGTATAATGTGAAGATTTTGTGGTGACTGAAGTTGATGTAAGACTCTCGGCTACAAGCTGTGTCAGGTGGCTGAATGGTGAATAATGGATACAGTTTATTCACCATTCAGCCACCTGATGCGGCTTGTAGCCGAGAGTCTTTCATCAAGTTGACATATGATGTTAACAGAAAAAATTTAAAAAGTATTACTCATTTTCATCATTTACAAATCTTTCAGCTTCATTATTTTATTATGAAGATAAATAAATATAGATATTCACAATTGTTTTAGCTGTTCTCCTCTGTGTTATATGGCATGAGACAATATATGTTCAACATCTTTATATCCTGTGTCCTCTCCTTTTGATCCTGTCAACCAGTCTTCATGAAATGAGACATGAAGAGTATTGCATTGAGGGACACCCTGATTCTCAATTTTCTACTAGCAGTAGTTAAAATATCAGATGTGAGATGGAATTAAAGTAGTGTTATTCATTCAGCATAATTACAATTCCGGTGTTATGAATTCTTGGAGAATAGCAAAACATACATGGGAGTATGAAAAGAATAAACTGGTACATATACTAAGTACATACTTCATTAAGACCCATATCTTTCATTTGAAGCATTTTGTAATATGATGTGTACTTAACAAAGTAGATGGAAATATTATTTATGACCACGCAGAATAATGCATAACACTGTAATGGGACAAACCCTACCTTAATGTCCATACTGGCACTCCACTGCGATTTATTGGTGATTTCTAAGATTTGGGGGTTTCCAAATCCCAATTTGGAATTTCTTTCAGAGGGTTTTGTACTTAAGTTTATTATTCTTAACTGAAGGTTGTATTCTTTAAACCAAGTGGGCCCCGAGTTCCCAGAAATTTCCTTTACTGACTTCCTCAGCCAATCAGAACTTCGGATTTAGAGTTAAATGCGAAGGACTGCTTTGTGCGAGAAGGGAGTCTCAAAGGAACTTTCGTTCAGGACGGACATTTAGACTTCGGAGTTAGAGAGATACCATTCAAGACACTCCGGGAACTGACCATCTACCTCTGTGGTGTCTTCGATTAACAGCCTGCCAAGCGGCCCTTGAGACGAACACGCTGAGCAGCAGAGCTAACTGATTCAAGAAGATGGAATGATTATAGCATGACAAACCTTGCAGTACTAAATTTGTATGTGCAAGAAATAAATATGAAGGCCAATATGGTGTATAAAATCACAAAGAAAGCATTTCAATAATAGGTGTACTTGAATGGAGTATACTTCCCACTTTGTTATTTACTTATCTGTATATGTGAATGTAAACTTACCATGAGAAGAGCTGGAGCCGCCACCCACCAACAGAACCGGATGTAGGGTGAAGGCAGTCTTCCCGTCATTTCTAAAACATTTTTGGCAAGCCGATGACCGCCATAGAACCATGAAATGGCAATCACCTCAAAGAAAGCCAGGTACATTATTGAGATAGAAGCAGCGAAGTGATCTACCAGTTGGAAGAAGTAGATTCCACCCTGCAAAAAATGAGGATAATGAAAAATAATTATTCTGAAATACAGGATTCAGTGCTTGATTAGTTTTCAGATATGAAACTAAATTTGTAAGTTCTGGATCGAGTATGAAAATATTTTTTTATTTAATGCTCCCACTTATGACCTCTGACTTCTGCCTGCCTGATAAAACAAAGGAAGATATATAGAGTACTACTTTGTTTTGGACTTTGTGCATTGTCTTTAATTTTTAAGTCTCAATAATCTTAAAACCTTAAAAATCCCTATATTTTGAAGGATGTCTTTCTTCATCCAGATTCAGAAGAAGCCCAAACACTCAGTCTGCCAGATGCAACAGAATAGGTGCCCACCCCCCTTAAATAAATTCAACGAAAGATCTGTCATTTGAAATGTATTGAATCATAAGTTTTTAAGAGTTTTAAGACTTTTAAAAAATAATACATTTCAATGTAGGGCTCTACACCTTATCAGAGCTAGAGAGTATATTTATTTTTCATGCAAAATATTCCTGTATTTTTTTAAATAATGCAAGTAAGTAAAATTCTTTGAATATATTAATTGCCTTTCACCCTTTATAGTGTTCTTCACTTCATGACTACATTTTAGTATCAGATATATGCTTAATGGAATAATAGTTAAAATGAGAAAAGTAAATGGTTTTTTGAATGGTATGGCATTTTTATGCAAAAGAGATTCACAGAGTATTGGTATGTAGCGGGCATGAGGGAAGGAGTGGGTGGCAGCAAGTTCCAAAATCATCTTTCATTGACCCCATTTTATATTGGTCTGCAAGTAAGTGAAATTTCTGCATTTGATGAAAAACATACTAATCATACAACATAAATCTTCATATGTGGGGAGGGGGGTAATAATTTGAAGATTGATGTGAAAACCTCAAATTCTGTGGGTAATAATTTGACAATTATTCGCTTAGTATAATTATGCACTGGGCAATGTTCTATCTGTATGTACTGGAATTTAAACGAATTCATAATTAATAAGAGGAACATTTATGCTAACTGTGCAACAGATGAAAGTAAATTTCAATTGTTTTAATTTCTCCAGAAAAGAAATTACTGTGTCCCAAATAAAGGACATGGGTTTTACAAGTAAGGGAATGTTATAACAATTCTAGTATAAAATGCAATTCTGAAGACTCACACTCCACAAGGAAGTTGTTCAATTAAAGGATTAAAAGGCTTGTTAAACTGGGTATAATACTGAATATCCTTTGATGAAAAGTCACTCACTGCAAGAGATTAAGGAGTGCCAGATGATGTAGCATTCTTTCTCTGTCTTTGCCCTTATGCCCTTATCTTATCTGTTTTCCACCAGCATTAGTACTTTTATAAGTAGTGTATGTTCAATTAGACATCGGTTCCTTAAATGAATGACATTCCAAAATCATTCTTACCTTAGAAGAGAATTGGCAGTATTACATTTAAAGTACTTGCCTCGCATCAATATGGAGAAATTACAATCCAACATAGCAAATAATTAAAGAAACTATTCCAAAGTTACAGAGGCAACACTCCTGGATATAGTATTTTAGATGCTTTGCCATATTTTCTCTTACAAGTCATTTTTAAAGTACACATTTGCAAATATTTACATTCCTGGAGAGAGCTTGTGAAACAAAATTTTGTAAAGTGAGAGTTACATTCCCGAATGACTAAAAAATTCCAAACAATTTTAGTGCTTCAAAAAAAACATACACACAATAGAAACATTATTACTTATTACATACATGCTATATAAAATATAGAAAAAAGGTCCTGTAAACAGCAAAGGGGAATAAACATTTTTCTTGCCTTCATATTGTGACGTCGATGCCTATCGTCTATCGACTATTGACTATGGGATCTATGTCAACCTGGATTTATTGAGGATAAATCAATTCACAGAGTCTACACATACAGGCAACTGTCCTAATACAGCTCCAAAGTCTCTATTTCTACAACTATGTGACATGCAATCAGCTCTTTCCACACTATCCGTTGAGCCATTCTTGTCCCTAAGCTTGGAGCTCTCCACTCATGCACACACAGCCCTCAGCCCACAGCACCCCACTGGACACACGCTGGCTCCTCAGCTGCTCCGGTTCACGAACCGGTGCTCTTCGCACACACACGGTCCTCGGACCTCAGCACCACATCAGACCACTCGATGGCTCCTTGCTCTCATGCACTCAACACTCTCACCAGATCACATTTCACTCAAGACCCACTCTTTGCTTGATTCACCATCAACTCTCGCTCTATTGTTCCATTCTTTCCACACCAGAGAGAGACTACACACTCGGGGAGGTGACCTTTTATATTCGCGGAACATTCCAGACTCCAAGGATCTACAACAGCACTTCTCAGCTTATGGTAAGCGTACCACTCACTGGTGGTACGCGAGCCAATGTTGAGTGGTACACAAACCAAGTAAGTAAATCAAAAGGTAATATTAACATAAATAAGCTTTCCCTGAACATATCTGGTTAGTGGTACATTTAGTGTGTTAAATTAGAATCAGTGGTATGCCAGCGAAAAAGGGTGTGAACCCCTGATCTAGAAGATTCGCTTCCTCGAAGGTTTTGTTAAGGAGGGGAATATGGTGTCTGGAACATTCCATGGTGGCCACACCTACAGCCAGCATCCAATAGCCAAGGAGGGGAGTTAGGTAGCCTCTCCCCACCAGTGTGAGCCACATGCTCCTTTGGCGCCACGTCACAATATTCTTTTCTTTTGACACTGAAATGGAAATATTTCACAAGATGCACACCAAAGCACAGCATTAAGTGAAGTGACTCATGTACTTACCCTCGTTTTATTGACTGATAGAATGATTGGATTATGATGTGTCCTTTGTATTTTGTTCACACATTTGATTTTGTATGGAAGATTTTGGGTGATCAAGTTCATGTTCAGATGGTATGCATTTTGTTACGAAAGTTTGTACGAGTTAAATCTCAACATGTGAATCTTTGTGAAGTAAGGTCTGACTGAAAACTCTAAATTTACTTAATACATATCTAGTATGTACCTCTGTTATGTGTGGAAGTCCAAAAAGGAATGAAATTATAACCACGATCAAAACCAACATCTCATGACAAATGAGATGCTTCTTTATGAGCTTGGGAAATCCATCTTGAATGGAAGTGACCACAACTTCCACAATGGCAACCTGAAATGAGAAGACGATAAGCATTACTATCAGTAAAAGTAACCACTGAACGCATTTTCATTGAAAATCTTCCAGTTTCTTCCAGTATGCTTACATATTCAGAAGGAAAACTACAAAATACTATAAAGAAATGAAAATATTTTAGAAGAACTCAATAGGGACCCAGCTGTAAATAAATGATCACACTGTAAACACAACTGGTTAGATCACATTAGAAGGATGGGAAATATTAGGCACCTAAAACAACTTCCTGATAACCAACTCAATGGAAGATGTAGATGTGGATAACCATTAAAGAGACTACTAGATGAAGATGACTGTCTTCTAGGATATTTTGCCATATAGTCTGGTAGAAGTTTGCCAATATTTGCTGCCTCCATCAACAGGGCAATGAGTCACTGCCCTGATGATGGAGGCAGCAAGCGCTTTTAAAACACTCACAAACTTCTACCAGACTGAGTTGTAATATCCCAGAACACAATCAGCTTTACACTTGTTAATGTGAGAACCTGAAATGTCACAGACTACTAGATGATTACAATTTTGATGCTGAAACAGATCATTTATGGGCCTAATTTGTGGCTAGAATTAAAAGCTAATAAACCCATCCATTGCAAAGTTACTCACAATATATGTATTGCACTGCAGAACTTATTTCCCATATTACTTTGTTAAATATTAAAACACAGAAAATAATTCAAGTAAAATTATTTTAGTTAATGATTACTGTATGATTAATCATGTTTCATTTTGTTGTATGATCAACTATTTTCGTATAAACAGATCTGATTTAAACTTCAAGTAAATTTGGGATTAATAAGTAAATGTACAATATGGATCATTATTATATTCATGGAATAACTTATAATGTAGACAGTAAATTCTAAATTTCATTAATATCCATGCAGTAGTTTTGAGGATATAGTACGTAGATGGACAGACAGACATTCTTCCCTCCTTGCATTTATTTTATGCAGTTTGTGCAAGGAATGCAGAACATACTCACACTAAATGATTTCTGCACAAAACTAATTCATAGAAGAGGATTTCATTTTATTAAATGTTACACCAAGGGAAGAAAGAAGAGAAAATAATTTTTTTAAAAATTTTAACTCCCTGCTATTTCATTGTAGACTTAAAACAAAATCTTGTATGATTTTAAACTCTTCACACTGCCAATCTTTTATTATAAATTAATGTAACCAACCTGGCTGTTGAGACCTAGACATAACAGCATGAAGAAGAAAAGGACTGCCCATAACTGAGGTGCAGGCATTTTGGCCATTGCTTGAGGATACACTACAAATATTAATCCAGGACCTGTCAAGAAAAGTTACATTACTTCATTTGTTTAACTTTACTTCACACTTTAGTTACTTATTATTGCTATCATCACTTTACATTAAATACAGTTAATTTTAAAAAAATACTATTTATATTTTCTTTGAACCCTGTAAAATACAATATTCATATTTGACACATTAATTAATTGTGGTTCAGTTTAACAGCTTACCTGGAAAAATGTTTTATGTTTACCCAGTAAAGCCAATAAAAATGTACCAACTTCAGAAATGCAGAGTCCACTGGTACATATAGTAATAGTTCATACTCACCGTCTGATACAACATTTTCAATTGCTGTTCCATGCTCTGAAGCAATGTTGCCAATAGTTGCAAATGCAAAGATCCCTACTAACATACTGGTGAAGCCATTTATCGTAGATACTGCCAGAGTATCAACCAAGATTTGGTTGTTAAATCGATTGTAACTGGAAAACGACATCACAGATCCAAAAGCAATTCCAAGTGAATTGAAGTTTTGAGCTGCAGCATTCACCCACACCTTTAATTTGGGAAAAAAAAGTTAAAATTAAAAATAATTTATTGTGACAGTAAATTATCATCTCTGATTATAGGGACTAAAACATGTAAGATTTAGGAGCCTCCAAAGGCATTCATAATAAATTTAATAAAATAAATCAACCTATTCAAAATCTGAAAGGTGAAAAACACAGTTAACACACACATAGACTGCATGGTACTTTCAAAAGCATAATTATTTACATAAGAAAGGAAAGTATGCTTAATATTGTAATAGAGGATACAGCAGATTTGTACTGTGAAATTCAAACAATTTTGTATGAACAATGAATTTCTTCAATACATTGTAAAATACCCTCGCTAATTAAACAGTGGAGGGATTTGTTTAGAGTAACTTGAATCCTCATCTTTAATATTTTTGTTACAATGTATATCAATTTGTCAGTTTATCAATATCAGTTATAACTTAACTGCTTTGATTATTGTTATAATGTACATCATGATGAGTATATATGTACAGAACTACATTAACTTATTTTCTCCAAGGAACCCATTTCTTTAATATACTAATTTATTTATCCCATCAGAGCAACAAACTAATAACATCCACTCACCATATTTATATGAACTATTATTCAATTCCAATTGCCTTCATAGTATCAGTTTTGAATGAGAATATGAATATTAATATCACATTACATTATTTACCTTCAACAGGCTAACTACAATACATAATTCCATAACATTGCCCTGTATGTGTTGTGTATAAATAGTTAAAGAAGTAAAAATAAATTAAACATAAATTAGTTCATTCAATTACAACTTTGATATAAATGTTGTAGCACCATAATTTTTTCTGACTTACTAATTTAAACATCATTTTCATGATTATAAATGCAAAATTTATCTAAGTATCTCATATTGTGATATATTCTGAACATGTTTCTTTTTGAAGATTTCTGTCTTCTGGGTTGTTGCGGTGTGTAATCTGGTCGATGTTAACCAACGTTTCAGAGGTCATACTACCTCCGTCATCAGGGCAATCGCCCTGATGACAGAGGCAGTATGACCTCTGAAACGTTGGTAACCATCTACCATACTACAAAGCGCAACAACCCGGAAGACAGAAATCTTCATACTCACTGCTGTGAAAACCTCAAATCATACATGTTTCTTTTTAATCAGAATATATAATAATAAGTTATCTGAGTGACCTGCTTGACAATACACTAATATGGACACAGATATTAAATTTGAATTTCTGGCTGACATGACCAAATATTTCACTTAAGCCAGAAAGTAAACATAACATTAAGGAAAAGAAGTATGTTTGAAGTTGAGTGTTATAAAATCTGCACTTGGGTCAACAAAGAAGCAATAGAAATATATAAACTCAATAGAATGCATTACTTGAATCAGATGCTTAAAAATATATTTAATAATGCTGAACCAAACCAGAAAAAAGTCAGGGAAGGGATCCTTATTAACATTATATTACTTTCATACAAGGTGTACACGGTATGGCACAAATGTAAAAGGCAAATTGTACATGCCAAAATAATGAAAGAAGTTCATATGAATGAAAATGGGTTTGGAACCACTTCTTTTCCAAGACACAGCCATCTGTTCTTTCTCAGCTCCATACCTTTATTGCTTCCCCTCTGCACTTGTAATGAAGCAGGTGACAGACGTAAAAGAAAGTCAGATAAAACACTGGATATACACTTCAACATCAACACCTTGACTGCATTCTGTTACTTAATTTATAAGTCCCAAATTCAGCATATCTGTCGTTTAAATTTAATTTGTTTTATCAGTTGTATTCGGTAGCAATATTAACAAAGCTTGCATAAAAATGTTGATAAAGCTTATAATAGTAATTTAGTTGTATTGGCGCTAAATATCAATTCACACTGAATGTTCATTCATTCTACTGAATGGCAGATATGCACATCTTCTATAGGAATGCAAATGAAGGCCAGGCATCTCTATGACAAAATTTCCATAGTAACAGAAAGTTCCATGTAGGCATTCTAAACATTTGCAATCCCATGATATTTATGCTCTGAGCATGAATGGAAAGCTATGAAAATATGACAGAACATTAAAAAAAATTCTGAAAGGAAAAGAGGACTCTACATTGTAAAGGAGGCTTCTTTATAACTATCTTCAAAGAAACTTGTTTATTATTTTTGAATGTAGAACTCATCCTTACATTTGAGCCAGAACGTTACGTTACATCATGTATAAGCGTGCTATTTACTTGCCTTAGAGTCTGCAAGAAGTTCCCACTGTGGTTTGAAGAAGTACTTGAGACCTGCATCTGATCCATCTAGAGTGAGAGAATGTGCAAGAAATGCTAGGATAAGCACATATGGAAATGTTGCAGTAAAGTAGAGAACTTTGCCAGATGATCTGACACTCTTCCAGATTGAGAAGTAGACAAGAATCCAGGCCAAGATGAGACATGCTGCCAGTTCCCAACGGATCACTCCCAGGTTATCAATTCCATCACTCATTTGCAAAACCTTGTGGCTGAAAGGAGATGGTCCATGTTATGGTCTTTCATTTCATGTCATAATGACATCTTTTGATATTATACATAATGATTATTCACAGTTATGAGTATTAATAAAGTACAGAACTGCTACTGCTCTCTAAAATTAATATTTATTCATAAAAAGGTCAAGGTTTTTCTAATCCAATATTGAGAATCTGCTCTGGGAAGCTGTTGATAAGCTCAGAAAGTCAAGATATATTGTCTCTTTGCCAGAGCCTGTAGACTCATGTTTACACAAATTCATCACCAATCCCCATGTTGAGCCAGATGAATCCAATACACACCATTTTACCCAATGTCCCTAAGATCTGCTTTAATATTATTCACCCATCTATGCCTGTTTCTACAAAGTGGTCTCTTCCCTTAGGATTTTCTGATTAAAATTTTGCATGCATTTCTCAGTGCTCATATGTGTGCAAAATATTTTGCCTATTCCATCCAACTTGATCTGATCATCCTAATAACACTTAGTAAAGAGTACTAAAGGCGGACTTTCTCCAGTTTCTTGTCCCTTCATCCCTCTATTATATATTCTCCTCGGTACCCTTTTCTCACACACTTATTCTTAATAGATCAAGGTTCACATTCATACAAAACAGCAGGTAAAAATTAGTCTTTATATTTTAATCTTTACTTCTTATGCTGAGGATATACGTATAAACAAAACACAGACTTTTAATGTCACCACAAGGACAAATTTTCCTGTTCTTTTCATTATGGCTCCATTATTTATACATAAACATTAACATATAATTACCAATAATTGATACAGACCATTCAATGCCAGTTCCTTTGACTCCCTTGGCATATTACAGAGTGTAATTAAATATAAAGGGATTGAGGGAACCCCTTCAGAGAATCATAAAGACAGAAGAGATTTATGTATGCATATTTTACTGTGTTTATATATCAGGTCTAAGAGTTTTGACAAATTTTAAGAGGATGAATATTTACAATTTGTAATAAATTAGGAACTTATGGATAATTCAAACAAAAGCTGCAATGGAAACTTCTTCCCCTGCAGTTGATCTTTGATGTTTGAAATTTAAATACCTTGACAAGAACTACTTTTTGTTGTTCAGGATTTAAATTAGTTCCATCCAACAGACTGAACATTTTAGGTTTAATACTTTTGCCTGATATTTAAGCAGCGATAGCTTCCAAAATATCATGGTCTTTAGTCAAAAAACAGAATAATGGAAAATGTTCAATAACATGTGTCAGTTTAAATATAAGACCAATTCTTTGGCATGTGAACTAACTACAACTATTCAGATTCTTTATCCAGGTGTAAATAAGACTTAATAGGATTAATTATCTAAAATATATAAATCATGCATACAAACAAGATTAACACTTTAAAAAAACAGTTTGTGCCAAACGCGTTTTGACCTCAAGAGTCATCCATCATCAGTGGCAGTGTCTGTGCCTGGATTGTGAACTTCAACGTTGCATGAGTAATATCCACAGGCACAGACAACACAACCACGGCTCACAGTAGACCAACAAAGGAAACCTCAATTTAGGCCACTGGGCATCAACCTAAGTAACTCAATTTAGATATTACACAAACTCATGTGCAATTAAACGTTCAGTGTGGTATTACATGAAGTATGGTTTTATACAGTGTGACCTTTTATGCTTAGTACTTTATAACAAACCATCATTTTATGAATTGTATGTTTTTAATGAATTAGTGTTTTGTCTCTTGAGGTTGAAAAGCGTTTGACACAAAATGTTTTTTAAAGTGTTAACAGTCTTGTTTGTATGCATGATTTATATATTTTAGATAATTATTCAACACTGCACAGTATGCAAGTACTACATTTATTTCCATAAAATTGAAAACACTAATTTATGCTCCCTCTAACTGTGAGTGGATTCTATTGCTAGTTATTAATAACATCCAGTGATTATGTGTGTTTGTCATTGTTAATGCAATTCTTGTTAAAAACATGCATATAAAGCTTCCATGCAATTATTAATTATCCTAAAAATTGAAAGAAAAAAAAAAGGATAGTACAGCATAACAACCATTAGAAATTCTGAAACTAAAAATCATAACCTACATCCCTAAAATAACTTGAAACAAACAAGTCAGGCAGTTATTCTATGTCAAAAATTAATTTTGTAATGATTTTGTTACCTCTCTTGATCAGTAATCCAGCATCTGTAGAATCATGTCTATAGGACAGCTAGAGAACAAATATAATGAATGGAATGTTTGTTGTAATTTTCTGGGTTCAAATGACACTGATATGAATTAAGCATACTGTTTTATAGTAGAAATTCTACTGTAGATTTTTTGATATAATTTCTGCAATTTCAATGTACCTCAATAAAGAAATTCAATCTTCATTTTCAAATATCAATTGCTGCAATGGCTGGAGTAATTAAACAATCTTTTGCACAAGTGCATTAAATCAACACCTGGTAAAACTGCATCTGTCCAACTACAAGCTTCATCTTTAAAATTTTCTTGTAATCAGGCAGTATTGTGTGTTTTTTGGACATCTTTCATAGAACAAAAACAAATATATAATATAATCAGGGATACAATACAAAAAATAAAAGTACCAGGGTGGTCTGGCACATAGTTCCAGGTCAAAAGAAGTGGGCATGTGGTTCTCATTGTTTCTTAATGATAGCTTGACGCAAGCAGAATTGAATGGTATACAGCTCATAAACAAATAATAAATAACAGAGTTTTAATACTGTAGCATACAAATATTCTGTATGACTTTAACATTTTGCGACAACTAATAGTGATAAAATCCTCTCGGGTAAGAAGCCACATCAATTCAGAACAGTAGTCTGACATTTCAGAAACTCTTGTCTCCATCACCAGGGAAAGACTTCTCCATCCATACACACAGCCTCTCTGAAACATTGGACTTCTGTTCCAAATTGACACGGCTGGTAGCCTGAGAGAATTTTATCAGTTTCATATTCTGACCAATTTGTATACTACATGATATTTGTAAGTTTCTAAAGGTGCCAAATCTGTATATTGTATTTTACTGGCAAATAGCTCACACCCACTTTAATCTTAGGCCACTGGCCTTACCAGTGACATCACTGTTTTAAAAAAAACCTGGGTGTCACCTCAATGAATGGTATTTGAAAATAAAGATTGAAATGACATACACTAAGATACTCAGATCCACACAGTATATAGACCATTTACACAAAGTTCAAATGTATCTACAAGATTATTTTTTATACCTAAAACTTTTAAAGAAACATCTCCCTTCCAATTAAAATTTTGGGGGAAGGGGAGGATTGTTAGTATATAGAATGTATATGAATTAACTTCACAACTTTACTCGTGAATAAACCTTTAATGACAGACACGCTGTTTGAGCATCATCTGAGAGAGAGACTCTCAAAGTTTGCTCTGAAAATTACATGCACTCAACATGGGCACCATTTGTAACACGTGCAATGTCCAAACGAGATTCAAGCTTCATCCATGCACGCTGCAGCATGTCAATGTCAACTGTTGCAACAGCAGCTGCAATTCAGTCCTTCAAATCACTGATGTTGTCTAGTGGAGTTTGGAATCACAATCTTTTGAGAAATACTGATAAAGAGATGCATGCACAACAAGCTCCAGTGTGGTGGTGTGCCATTTTGCTGGAAGAACGCAGCAAACTGCAGTTCTTGTGACTGTGGATAGACAAAGTTTTCCAGCATATCCAGACAACTGCTGGATGTAAGAGTTGCTTCGGCAAAGAAGAAGAGTCCAATCAAACGATCATACAAAAGGCCACATATTAACTTTGGCTGTCTCTAATGTGCTCGATTGTAGCAGAAGGGTGTTCTGATCCCCAAATGCATACGTTCTGTTTGTTTACCTGCCCTGAAACGACGAATGTAGCCTCATCAGAGAACATAATTTTCCTCAGAAATTCATTGTCTTCTTCCAGGTTTTCAAGCATAGTCTTTGCAAATTTTGTACGAGCTACTGTATCATCTGGCATAATTGCCTGCACCAGTTTTCATCATACACACGAGGAAGCCGGGGTAGCTGTCATAACAGGGAAAGACTGACAATCGGAGTTCGATCGCCGACAAGGGCAGGGGATTTTCCTCTAATCTCTGGGGCCTATCCAATGGATACCGGTGTCCTTTCTCGGGGGTAAAGTGTGGCTGGGGCGTGACGCAGACCACTCACCCCTATAGTGCCGAGATTAAGAATGAATAGGAGCTATACCTCTTTTCCCCCTCCCCAGACGCGTGTAACGGGACGTGAACGCCCTGTGCATTTCTTGTGTAACTCTTTAAACTGTCCAAACCGGGCACACGTTGTCCTGAAACGTCTTTGTACCTATTTATACGATTTCATTTCGATAAAACACTCCAATCTCTAACCTCCTCCTGCGAGTTCTAAGCGACTGACTGGACTTACAGATACAGGTGCAGTATGGTGGAAAATAACGGGTGCTACCATCTACCGGAAACTCGATAAAACTTCTAACAGTTTTTCTTGCAAATTGCGCTCAAACCGTGTAGAGAGTAAAGTTGTAAAGGTAGTTAATATACACCCTATACATAAAATGAAATTGATTTATAAGTGTAAATATGGTAAGCACATATCAGTTACCACAAATTTGGTGAACTTCTAATTTATTTTTCCTCTTATTACTTCTCCTTTAGACTAGCCATGTGATTGTAATATATACAGAGGGATTTGGTGTAATATTTGCTCCTTCAAGTGAACCTTTTAGGGGTCACTGAAGAAAAATTCCATAAAATAATATTAATTTATATATCAGAATTTGCATGTGAACACTGTATTTAATCTTTCTGTATATGTTTATACCTACAATATCTGTCCATATAGCATATTTTTCTTCATAATAGAACTGTTCCGGTCATGAAAGCGAAAATGTTCAGGTTCAAGACAATAATACTCCTCAACACACTACCACTACTTTATAAATTAGGGATCCTAAGATGAGGTTCCTGTGTATCAAATGGTCCCAATAAAATATAATAGGTTATTAAAATAATACCTCTGTGGTGTTTTGAAGTTTGTAGTTGTAACAATGATTTTTAACTTACTCATAAAATTCTTGAGAAGGTGCCCTAGATTCAATTGGCTTACTGAAGTTTACAGCTCTGGTGGTCCAGCACTTGTACGTATTCCAACGGCTTGAACATGAACTCCATGGAGAGTCAGATTTGAATGCAGTGAAGAAATAGTAAATGGCATATGCAATAATCACATTGTAGTATGTTGACATAATAAATGAAATGACAACACTAGCCAAACCAGCACCTGGAAGTTAAATAATAAAAATGTGCGTACAGAAATACTGCTGAGATTTCAGGTTCTCATGGTGGTAATTGTATAGATGACTGTCTTCTGGGATCACAAGCAAAGTCTCTGAAGACAGTCATTTAGAGAGAAATACTGGGTTGGAACATTTGGTAAAATTTTCAAAAAATAAAGCGAGCTATTTACTTCTAACTGTATTCAGCTTAGGCTGCGTTTTAGTTGAGAATTTAATGTGTGTTATGTAATTGCAATATAATGATGAGAAACAGGTGATATTGCACATAACATGTCCGTGTGTGTAAGTGCAACAGAAATCTGACCACTCATTGCTAAAGTAATTTATGCTTCCACTGTATCTCCTGCAAATTAATTAAAATTGTTAATGACCATTTTTATATTAATTCTACCATTTACAACCCAGTCTTTCCAACATATATAATTCTACGTGATTTACCTCCTGGAAAGTTATATATAATGTATATTTGTCTCACATGCTTCCTTCTAACACAAAGAACTATCACATCCTTTGTGGCAGGTAGCCTATATAAAAATACCAGCTCATGTAAAATTTATGTTTGTCAGAAATCTAGATGCCATAATTGGAGCAGTTAAAACTGCGTGAGTTGCACTGTTGCAGAAATTGTTTACTCCTAATACCTTTTGGAAACACTAGTAAAATTATGACATCAATATTTTTAAGCTGATGATATTGAAACCAATTAAATTATTATAACAACACAGAATATTTCACTTGGTCCTTTAAATAAGTAATGCAAAAGTAGGGCACCACATTGATCAAGTTACCTTTGAACAGTGGGCAAATCTGAGCAAGGGCACCGATGGGTCCTCTTCTTGTGAACTGACCTACAGCGAGCTCCATGTACAGCAATGGAATTCCACATATAATGAGAATGAGGAAATATGGCACCAAAAATACACCTGGAATAGAAAAAGAAATTCAGGCTGAAATTATTTGGCAAGTGAACAGGGCCCTCAACTTCATTTCCAGTGACTTGTTTGTAACAGCTTTTGACTTATTGCTTGGATGTAAACGTTTTAAATTATAAAAAATATTGCTGATGTGTAAATTTAAAATGTAAATGAATCACACAACATACCAAGCTATTTGTGTCACAATGGTTTAATATTGTGAAGAATGAAAACATGTAGGCCTGTGCTGGATATTAAATTTCTCATATATACCACGGTAATGTTATAGTGCAGTGTGGTCCAACTTTTTCCCTCACTCAGGCAAGAATAGTTTATCTCTTGGACCCAAGGGTCAAGAAACCCCTACTGTCACTATTTTTCCATTGTCGTTATCGTTAATCATACTTATTCAGAAATGACAAATTACCATTGCATATGCTGGAATATAATTTTTTTGTGCATAAACTACTACCGAGTTTTATATTATTTTAAATTTGCTCCTGCAAGGGCTTGCATCTCTCACGATTTTTACATGGAAAACTTACACAAATTATTTGAACTCTGCTACTTTAACAGCTTGTATCTGATACAATAACAATTTGTACCGGTAGAACGTACATCTTATGCTTTTAAAGTCAATGGCTTTAGTGAGATCACTGAGCAGATTGTTCTTTTACCAGTGACGGAATATCAACTTCTACTTTTGTTGTTACTAAACGAAGGGTTGATCGTAAGACATCCTCAGGTAACCTGTCCCTCTGCTTCGTTTTTAACATTTTCATGGTGGAGAAAAAATATAGCAGCTGATGAGATGAGAATCACAATTATTTTTTTAAAATCCTTGAGAGAAAAGAAAAAAATGGGTTTCTACTAACTAGTAACAAATTAACAAATACTTTCACGGGCTGGATCCAGCCCGCGGGCCGCCAGTCGGGCCACGCTGACATAGTGCACTGAAGGTGCCATTATATTGTCTAAGATCATATCTTTCTTAGTCACTGCATAAACTGAAATACAAATATTTGTTCATGGATGCCTGCAATTTATAATTTGTTGGAAGGAAACTAATTCATGAATTAATTACAATACAATTTAATACCTGAGATAAGTGTACGGGTTTTTATAGGCGCAGTCTAGAAACTTTCCGATCGCACCTCGTATATGATATTTTATTTATATGCAGGTTGACATTCCTGTAAAACACCTTTTGAAACTGCTCTGCTTCCCTGCCCATCCACCTCCACACATATAAGAACTTGAAAATGGCTAAGCTGATTTTAATTATCTTCCAATGTCATGTGAAGATCACGATTAACAGGTTCGTGATATGTTGAAATCATGTTCAGCATTCAAAGTTGTGCAATTTTGTATCACAGGACACTTGTAGACAATGAATATTGCATAAAATCGAACTTGAAGTTAATCACAACTAATGCATATTTATTAAATTAACCTCGTTGATGTTACTAATCAAATTAGACCGCATATCCATCTAGAATAGCAAGCAAGCCAGTGATCTCACTGCGAGACAAACAATAATAAGTACACAGTCTCATCTTGTGAACAAGCACAGGTCTCGGATCTGCAGAGAAATCAATGAGAACTGTTATTCACAATTCAATTAGATAAATAGAAAATACATTTATATAATTTCTAGAGATTATGTACTTTCGTGTCAAATGTATGCTTTGTCTCTTCACTCACTAAAATCTTTTCCCTGCGTTGCAACCTCTAAATAATCAGTATTACTGTAAGATTCTCTAAAGGGCCATACTTAATTTTCTTCTGTGTCTTTTGTATCTGTGAAAGAATGATCAGGTTTGTGTGTCATCCCACTGGGAGGGACTTGTATGTTGTAATTTATTCATATAACATAATGTGGATTTCGGGGTCCGCAGTGGCCGCGCGGTCTGAGGCGTGGGCTTTGTGCCGCTTGGTCGCGGGGACCGTGGGTTCGAATCCCAATCAAGCAATGGATGTTTTTCTGTGTTGTGCTGTCCTGTAAATAGGTAGAGGCCTTGCGACTGGCCGGTCCCTCGTCCAAGGAGTCCTACCGAATGTCCATAGATCAAACCAACTAAAAAAAGTTGTCAGTGGAACCACGGTTCCGGAGAATTTGACGTAAATACGTCTATACGGAAAGGAAGTTTATATATTGGCTTTATTCTAAATATTTCCTTTAAAGGTAAGGTAAGGTAAGGTAAGGTAATGTATTGTAATGCAAGGTAAGGTAATGTAATGTTTTATAGGTAACAACAATGCCGAGTAAACAGATGACGTTTCCTAGGTAACAACAATTCCGAGTAAACACGACGTTCCCTAGGTAAATTTGTTACACTTTTTCGTTTCCCTTTTTCGTTCCACTTTTTTTGCCGAATGACCCTTCCTTATAGACGTATTTACATCAAAAAAGTTGGGGGCCCGTAAAGGGTACCGGAAAATGTACAAACATTGTTAAACCGGAAAAAAGAAGATAATGTGGATTTCTTACAGGATCTTGGTAATCAGATTTTTAAAATGGCAAATTATATTGTTTCATTATCATTGTATGTGGTTTTATACTCTCATTCCCAAGTATTGGGTTTGAAATGTCCTGCCTCCCTGCTTATTCATTTAGCTTTCCTAAAAAGTATGCATATACTTTACAGAAAATTGAGTGGCTGACTATCCCAATTACTTACAAAATCTTTAGGACCTGTAGTCACTTTATTCTCTGCTGAAACATGAATATTCGGGAAAATCATACCTCACTGTATAATACGTGTCATTCTAACACCATGAAACAGAGTCGTTTTTGAGAAGCTATTAGTCGCTCTTCTAGTCAAGAAATTTCCTGTTTTTATGGAATGAGAAACTTCATTTCAATGTTCGCAAGAGTCCATCACCGGTCCCTGTTCTGAGCCACATGAATCCAATCCACACTGTCTTCCATGTAAAGTGGCTACCATTTTCCGAACTCAGCCAAAATTAGAGTGCATAAACAAATTTTAATAAAATCCTGCAACATAAAATTTCATCAAGTACTGACACTTGTTTGTGTTCATGATTTTAACTTGTTAAGGGCGAATATGAATACTAAAGGCAGTACCCCAGAAAATCTTCTACAAACAAAGATATAATCTGTTGCCGAAAATAAATAAAAATGCCCAATCTATCTGGATCAGAGAGCTTCTTGAGAGCCAGTCAAGAAATCCCATGGTTTTCAAGGAACATGAAGGCCCATTACTAGATTTACAAGAGCCTGCCATAGGTAATTATCTTGAACTAGATGAATCTAGTCTATACCCTTATTTCGTATGTAAGACCAACTTTAATATTATCTTTCCATCCACATCTATGTTTTCTGAGTGGTCTCCTCCCTCTCGACTTTCCAACCAAAACTCTGTACACATTTCTCACATCAACATGCATGCTACATACCCTCTCTGTCATACTAACTTCATCATTACAGTATTACTTGAAGAGTAGTCTACAAATTGTTGAGGTCCTCATCACGCAATTTTATCCATTCTCCGGTCAGTTAATTCCTCTTACTTTCAAACAGAAGTAAATTCAATTAAAACTAAAAATACGTTCGTGATAAAAATCAAAATAATTAGCAACAGCTATAATGTAACTACAGTAATCAACCGTTTGAGGGTGCTTTAAAATTTAAGTATCTGAGAACAACATATAATTGAGGTTAATGACGGGGTATGAGGAATGATAGATTTCAAAAATTCTGGAATTCCCAGAATATTAAAAATCAAGATATACGAAACAAGTATTTTGTCAGTTTCTTTGTATGGGTGTAAAACATGGTCTCCTATTTGGACAATGAATACAAACTAAAATTGTTTGGCGCTCAAAGTAGTATACTAGTACCGTCAAAATAGGAGACTTGAATGGGCTGGACATGTAAAGGCCGGAGAATATATAAATATCTGCAGACGTTTGGTAGAGAAACTTTTGGGAAAGCCCACTTGGAAGATCAAGGCAAGGGAGTAAAAGAGATTATCTCAAGATTGTATAAAATGGAAGGATTTTGTGTTAGCGGCGTCGAGTTTTCGGATTCTAAAGTGGCATTATTTATCATGCATGAATGCATTCGAATAATTTGCTCAATGACAATGTTACTGACGCGAAAAAGACATGTTAATATTGTAAGATTAAAAGTGTGTGTAGACCAGAGAAAGCAATTTATAACAACCACACGCTACCGACTTTATAACTTGTGTTGGGGAAGGCCGTGGTCTAGGCAACACGGAGTTTTCCTCCGGGGGCTTCCCCGGTTTCTCTGTGGCATCCCAACAATTACTCCATTCACACACAGAAGAAGGCAATGGCAAACCACTTCTGGATCATCTGCCAAGAACGTATATGAACAGGTCCCAGTCCGAGACACGGATGGAAGGATCCTGTTCATATGGACCTGTCGTCAGACAGAACAATAAATAAAATAAAATTACTAGCTCACACTAATCAATGGCACTGTAACGCTGTTGCCGCTGCCCTTCATAAAAACTAGTACCCAGTCTTAGAACTTTTTTCAATGGTTTTATTTTATTTAGTGTTCTGTCTGACGACAGGTCCATTGTTCTGCCCAAAAAGAGTTCGCCAGTTTTCAATGGTACAGTGAGATAAATCTCCTGTAACGTTATTTTGTGTGTTTATTTAGCGTGAGATATGAAAATTGCTGTACACACACATATTTAAATTCTCTCAAATTCAAGGCCCCTTCGAGAAGTAAACCAGACCTTATGAAAAAACTGTTATAAATGAAATACTGAACCAATTTCTAACGAAGTGTACTTTGTAATAAAAATTCCACAAGTTTTAAGCCATTATTTACATATATTACCATCGTCATCATCATCAACATTATTATTGCCGGCTGGACTAACCAGGTTCGGATTCTGCAATGATTATGATTTTTCTATTTGCCACCGCGTACTATAGTCAGCGCAGTAATTTTTGGCCGGTGGAGCAGCTGGCGGACGGGCCTAATCTGTGCGGCACGGTCAGTGTAT